GAGGTCCACCTAGAGCGTCAGGAATTGGGAACGCAGACGCAGCAATGTCAGGAGGAAGAGTAGGTAGAGAAGGAGCTGAAAAACAATTCTTGTTGCCTAATTTAGTCAATACCTATATCCTAACCGTGATCAGGTCCAATGTATTTGAAGGTGTCTTTTGGAGTAACAAATCGAGGCATCAATCCTTCTATCTTTGGTAAACCATGACTGGCATTCACTTCAATACATGATCGTCCTGTGTTGACAACAATCTTAGGGGCTCCACCTTCTACACGAAGAACGTGATGCGCTGAAGTCATGCCTACCTAAAAATAATTGCATATTTGAATTATAAGGTACCTGAAAATGTTAAAAGGGCAAAGTCCTAGCGTGGAATCTTATTTATTATGGAAAATGTGTCTTTGGATAATTTACTATAACACCTTTCAGAATCAGCAAGTAGTGTTTAGTCGTTTTTATCACATTAGTCTTGATTTATTATTGTGACTGAGTAAGGTATGTGCCACCCCCTTTTTCTGTGAATCAAAACGCACAACGAATTTGCTCTTGCTCTTAAATGTTTGAAAAATTTTTGACCTCGCCAAACCAAGCACCATTGTGGCTGATCTCGAATTTGTACAAAAACTGTGCCTCCTTTTCTCACGGAAAATTTTGGACAGAACAAATGGACCTCCTACCGTACTTCGGCAAATCATGATAATAGAATTTGTGTTGTAAATTTGTGTTGCGTTGCCCCATGATGAATTTGTACAAAATCTGCGCTTCCTTTTCCCATGGAAAATTTTGGACAGACAAAAACAAATCGACCTCGTACCGTATTCCGGCAGATTATGATGATAAAATTTGTATTGTAAATCTGTGTGACTTGTCTCCCATATAAGCACTATCCATGTTGAAAAAAGTCCCAGCGATAAAAGCAAGAATTTGTCTTTTTTCACAAAAAATGAGGGTTTGGTTTCTACCTACCCATTAGTCTGGTCAAACTTGATGTTCTTATCATGCAGAGAATGCATAATTTTAGAGACATACTGATTTTACTACTAAGACTTACATTTTGTACAGGCG